TGGGAAAAAGCTCGAATACCAACTAAAAGTGATAAAATTTGTATTAATAAAGTAGAATTATTATATAATGAATGGAGAGAATTACAAAAACATGCAGGAAGAACAACGCAAGCCACAAAATAAAAGAAGAAACATTTATTTTTAATCTACATAATATCTTTGATATAGCACACACAGATGCACTAAATATTTTAAAAATAGAAGAAGATAAACAGTTTCTAATAAATCAGCGAAAAGTTGGACGGCCGGGTTTCATGTATGGAGTTGATTATGAAATGGAACGGAAAGAAGCCAAACTTAAAAAACGGAGGAAGGCAGAATTTGAAAGACAACATCGTAATTTGAATTTTAAAAAAGCAGGTACATGTTCAAGTATTACCAAGAAAACTATTAATTTTTTTTTTATGAATATATTATTTTAATTTAGATAAGGCGGAGGTATTAGAATCATCTTCTAGTAGTACCGAAGATGAAAATATTGATAATATTATGGATATTGACAATGCAAATACAGACATCAATGTGAAGCCTATAACACCAGCACTAAGAGCAAAAACTAATATTATCACTCCAAAAGTTGTCGGGGCCTTAGATAAATGCAAAATAAGTGACAGAGACGCTGTTCATATTCTGGTAGCATTTTCTGAAGCTTTAGGACATGATATAAACGATCTAATAATTAATAGATAGTCTATTCGTCGTTGTCGGATGAGTTTGCGTCAAGATAGAGCCGCCATTATCAAAAACAAATTTAAAGAAACAAATCTAAATGCTGCCGTTTTACACTGGGATGGTAAACTACTTCCAGCTCTAACAGGTAAGAATATTGTTGACAGACTTGCTGTGATTATAACGTGTGGAGATGTAGAGAAAATCGTTGCAATACCAGAGTTAGAATGTGGTACAGGAAAAGAGCAGGCATCTGCAATTTATGACACATTATTAAATTGGGATATTCAAAAATCAATAAAAGCATTAAGTTTCGATACGACTGCGGTAAACACTGGTCGACAAAATGGTACATGCATATTATTGGAACAACTTTTGGAAAAAAATTTACTATATTTACCATGTCGTCACCACATTTTTGAAATCGTTCTTCGTAGTGTTTTTGACGAAAAAATAAGTAAGTCGGTAGGTTGCGATGTACCGATTTTTAAAAGATTTCAAAAAGATTGGAAAAATATAGACAAAACAAAATTTAAATCAGGTATTGAAAATAAAAAAGTATATGAAATTCTAGAACCTTATATTACACATATTGTTTCTTTCGCCCAATTTAAAACTGACTGAAAATCAACCACGTGAGACTATAGAGAGTTATTAGAAATAACATTGTTTTTCCTTGGCCACGGTGTTAAGAGTAATAAATCATTTCGTTTACCAGGAGCTTTTCATCACGCGAGGTGGATGGCTAAGGCAATATATTGTCTAAAAATATATTTATTTCGCTATGAATTTAAATTAACCAAAGCAGAAGAGGAAGGGCTATGTGACATTTCAATATTTTTGGTCTTTGTATATATTGAAGCATGGTTTAATGCAACTTTAGCTTCAACTGCACACTACCATGATCTTAGTTTTATTAAAAAACTTTATAACTACAAAACAATTGATGAAAGTATATCAAGAGTTTCGTTTAATAAATTTAAAAATCATTTGTGGTATTTAAGTCCTGAATCGGTTGCCTTAGCTTTTTTTGATATCAATATATCGGTTGAAACAAAAAAAAAAAATGGTTAATAATCTTAAACTTGAAAAAGAACCACTTGGAACATATAAACATGCTGATTTTATGAAGTCTGAAATTGAAAACTTTATATCAAGTGAAACCAGTGAATTTTTTAATGGATTCAATTTCGATATAAGTTTCCTTCAACAAGATCCTTCTACTTGGACTGTTGACAAATCATATCAAAATGCATTAGAGGTTGTAAATAAACTACATGTTGTAAATGATGCTGCGGAAAGAGGTATAAAACTCATTGAAGACTACAACAATTTACTCACAAAAAATGAAAAACAAATACAGTTAGTCCTGCAAGTAGTTAGTGACTATCGTAGAAATTATCCAGATTGCAAAAAAATAACTTGAAAAAACCATTTTAAATTTATTAATAAGATTGTTAAAATTTACATAAATAGTTAATAATAATTAGTTTGATTTTTATTGAAGTATTAAGTGTGCATATTTTATTAAAATGTTCTAATTTAGTTTTAATTATCATATAACCATATTTTTTAATTTGTTTTTTATATATTATGACAAATTACTGTTTTTTTAGCTACAAATTATAAATTTAGGCAAAAAAAAAAATAAAAAGTTGTACTTTATTATTTGTCTTTAAAAATAATAAACTTTCAATAATTAATACTTAAGCTTATTATTGAAACTATTTCGTTCTACAGTTTAAGCTCTATACATTTTTTCGCTAAGTATCATACTTTTTTAGCTAAGTAAAAAAACAACAAAACTACCCTTTTTGGTTATTTTTCAACCCCCAGGGGCACGGGAAGGGGGTGAGTAGTCATGACCAAATTTAACCAAAATTATCATCTTATAACAATAAAAAAAGTTAGGGTGTCCTACATTAACAATTAGAATGTTCAAAAATAAGGACCACCCTAATATATACATCACAATATTATGTGGTATTCGTTCACGTAATAATATATAGTGTTGATTATTTTCAAATAAATACCTATGTATACCTATATACGTGAACAGGTGGACAGACCAGATTGAACAGTTAAGAATTTGTTTGCCATCAAAATGTGTTTATAAATTGGTTTTCAGTATCATATTTACACGTTTTAGATTTGAAGATTGGTACAACAGTTTATTTTTAAACTAACATTAAGAAAAACATAAAATCAAATTACTAATAAACATATAATAGTTAGGTATCTAATTAAAAAAAAAAAGTGAAATCCTAATGATTGAAGACAGCATTATAGTTATTTGACACTTTAAAACCAGTGTCCAGTACCTACCATATGAACACCTAAAAGTATATGTTAAGACAATTTCTATATTTAATAAAATTCGTGAATAATCTAGGAAAGTGTGAAAATATTGTTGCATTATTTAAAATCAAGATTAAGTTAAAAAAGTGAAAATTTTAACAAAATGTATTAAATTAAAACTAAATTATTTTGTACCTAGTTAGTACAATGGTGTAGTACTCTAGACTGACATTATTATATAGTATATATCATCGAATTCAAATTGAATTCTGTCTATTACGGTTACATACTTACAGGGATGGAAAATGTTTTTATTTTTTTTTTACTTGCTATTTCATTCCAAGAGTCATTTTTTAAAATCTTATTATAATGATTTTTGTTTGTAGGGTCCCATATAATTTCCTTACTAAGATATATTTCATTAAGTTTTAATAGATTTTCATTTGTCCAGTAGGCCATCTTCACAAAATGTACGAGTAAACGAAAATAAACGACTAAATAGTGTATTCTCGGAGGTTAATCGGCAACTAAATGTATCAATTGGTTTGTCCTATGATGTCTGTTGGCGAGGTTTTTCGAACATACCCAATTTCATACCCAATTTCTCCTACTTACCTACCTATATCCGACCGAATCGCATGTGAAAATTCAATGACGAAAATACAAAAAAACCGACCCGTATAAAAATAAGTAGTACGTCATTTTTTTTTTCAACCTTAACGACCCGTCAACCGTCGTGTGAACCGCTCCGAGGCGCGAGCGCTCGCGGAATATCGAATTCGGTCGCATGGAGGGGACGAGCGAAGAACAACCGGCACCCCGTGCCCGGGCAATCAATCAAAACGGGTAGAGGGAAAAAAAATATATCCGAAATAATGCCCGTTTTGTTGTTGTCCGACGACGACGCCGCCGCAGCCTTTTTTCGTCGCAACTCCGTCCATCCATCATCGTATAGTTTATCGACATACGCAACGAATAAGGCAGTAACTCAATTTTCGCTACTTTTCAGTAGAAGCAAATTAAAGTTTGAATTACAATTCTTATTCTTATATTATTTGGATTTTATTGAAACTTACACAACATTTCATTTGTTTATCACTAAATATGGCCTGATATCAATTTCATTAAAGTTTGGATTTCCCTGGGTTTTCTTTGAGTTACTTCCTTTCACAAAAGGAGTTGACTCAAGTTACCACCATTTTCGGGGATAAAATATGACCAATATAAAGCAGTAACTTCTTCTTTATTAATATAAAACAAAATACAAAATATCTTTTTAGTAACTTTTAGTAATTTTTTTAGTAAGTAACTTCTTCTTAATTCATATAAAATAAAATACAAAATACCTTTTTCAACCTTGAAAATAATATAAAATAATAATAATATTATAATAGTAAAATGAATGATAATTAAAAATATTATTATATTGTATTATCATTAACAATACCAATAGATCCCTCCAGTCTCGAAGAGTCGTCCGCCCGAGAAGGACGTGTTCCGCCGAAGTCCGCTCCCGAGCCGTCCAGTCCAGTCGATTCTTATACCCAGTGTCACCAGTGCCGCCACCCGTAACCAAGCCACCAGAGGTCTCCGCCGGCGCGCACCACTTCCCAGTTGGTAAGTGTGGTCCCCCACCGGACCAGCGCGCCCGCCCGAGGTCCCCCTCTACGTCTTACGGTTTTCCGGCCGTAGCTCCGAAACGGCTGCTCGTAGAGCTCCGTGAGGAAAATTTTGCCCCCTCGACCATACATAAGCAGTTCTCGAGGGTGCCGATAATACCCCGCAAGCGCGGACCCCCTATCCCCCCTAGGGGAGGAGTTAGGGTCCCCCGATAGGGACAGTGCGTCCGGATAGGGACAGTGCGTCCGGATAGGGACAGTAAATCCGCACCGCCACCCCGATAGGGACAGTGCGGATAAGCCAGGACCGCACCCGCTAGTGCGCTCCGCACAGCCTCCGCGGATAGGGACAGCGCCCATCCCAGCCCAGGGGCCAGGCCCCCGGCCAAGATGAGCAACCCCCCTATTGACGCGATGGACACGACCTCGCAGCACCTCGCTCGGATGTGTCAAGGGTCTTCTGCGACCGGTGCCCCTACCGCAGCCAGCACAAGACCTCAACCCGCTCAGAAGAGGCAAAAGACCCAAGAGGAGGAAGATGCATTTTCTACCCTGGAAAGTTATACCCATGAAATCGAGTATGTGCTCGGGCAGGTCATGGAATGCCTGAACCTCAATCTGAGTGAAGTAAAAGCCACGTCATCTACAGCTAGAGACAGCGCTACTGTCCAATCTCTTGAATCAAGAGACACCAAGGCTAGAGATCTACTACTGAAGATCTTGAACCAGAAAGGAAAGCTGAAGCGCCTCCCTGAGGATCCTCGCGTCCCGAATACCGGCCTCCGCCACCTCGACCAGCACCACTGAAGCGTCCACCGACATGGAACTTGTACCGAACTGGTGGGAGGCCGACTGGGTCGCCGAAGCGAGAGCCGCCGCCCGCGGTCAGAACCCACAGAGCGCCAGGACGAGCCGCCCGACACCGCACACCAACGCCGACACGGAGGCCGAGTCGGCAATGGAAACCGAACGCGAGAACAACTGGTCGGCTGTCGTGAGGACAAAGACCAGGACCAAGAGGAAAGCGACGACAGAACCCCAGCAGCCCCAGCCCATCGCCGAAGCACGTCCTCAGCCGACATCCTACTCGAAAAAACCTCCAGCGATCATGATTAAACCGGCCGCCGGGAAATCATACAGCGATACGGTAAAAGCGGTCAGGTCATACGGCCTCACCATTGCGGATCTGGGCTCGAGTCTGGTCATGAGGGAGACCCAGGACGGGTCCCTCCTGATCGAGCTCCCCAGAGGAGAGAAATCCGCAGCGGCTGTGAAAAAAATCGCCTCCGCCTTTTCTGAACGTCTCGGCAGCGACATCGGCAGAATATCACAGCTCGGGGTTCTCGTAGACGTCGAGGTCCTAGATCTAGACACCTGCGCCTCCGCAGAAGAGGTCCTCGAGGCACTCCGCGCCGCTGTTACAGGAGAAGACAATGCATCCCTAGCAGCCGAACGCGCTTCGATTTGCGACGTCAGGATCTGGCCTACGAAATCGAAGCAGCAGATCGCCTCGACGAGGATGCCCAGACACCTGGCAACGCAGATATCCAGGATCCCGGTCGGCTACTCCATGTGCAGGGTAAGACCGAGAACACTCCCGCCAGAGAGATGTTTCAGATGCCAGACGTTTGGTCACAGCTCAAGAAACTGCACCTCGGAAACCGACCGTACCGGCGGCTGCTGGAGATGCGGCTAGGAAAGGTCACGACATGAGGAGTTGCACTCAGCCCGACGACAGCTGCTTGGCTTGCCATCTCGCAGGCCATCCTAAGGTCAGTCATAAACCAGGGTCGGGCGCTTGCGCCGCCAGGAGGCAGGCCGCAAGGCCGACCGCTACTTCGCGTGATGATTAACTTCCTGCAGGTGAACATCAACGGGAACTGGGCTGCCGAGCAGCTGCTGGTCCAGACCGCGTTCGAGAAGGAGGCTGACGTCCTCATCATTTCCGAGCCGGCCACCCGACTCGGAGATGAAAACCGCTGGGCATTCAGCACGGACCGTAAAACCGCCATCGGGACCGCGCGGCACTCTGCCCTGAGCCACGACGGCCACGGCTCGGGCGAAGGCTTCGCCTGGCTCTCGTTTCAACAGCTGACGGTCTTCGGCTGCTACTGGCGTCCCGGATCAACGCTGCAGAAATCTCACGGTTCCTCAGTAACCTGGAGGACGCGATCCGTTCCCGCGGCAACAGCCAGATCATCCTCGCTGGCGACTTCAATGCGTGGAACATCGGATGGGGCTCCAGGGTCAGCAACCCGAGAGGCGACCAGCTGTCCGACCTCGCCGTTAGCCTGGGCCTCATCCTGGCGAACGAAGGGGACGCCCTCACGTTCGTTCGGGGCACGGCCACGTCTATAATCGACGTAAGTTTCTACCGCGGAGTCAACTGCACGGGATGGCAGGTACTGGATGAAGAGTCGCTGAGCGATCATAGGTACGTGTTCTTCTCCACGTCCGCCCTCGACCGGGCTCCCGTCGCCGCTTGACCGCCTCCCGTCGCGCTCCTCGGCTGGTCCGTCCGGAAACTCAACGCAACGTCACTGGGCGATTTTCTCGCCACCACGCAGCTGGATTCCGTGGGCGGCGACGACGGGGTCGCCAGGGCACTGGAGTCCGCCGAACTCTTGGACGCCTACTTAACGGCCGCTTGCGAGGCCTCCATGCCGAGAAAAAGACCCGGCCCGCCGGGCAAGCCGCCCGTCTACTGGTGGTCAGAAAACATCGCTGTCCTGAGACGGGGCTGCCTCGCCGCCCGTCTACTGGTGGTCAGAAAACATCGCTGTCCTGAGACGGGGCTGCCTCGCCGCCCGTAGAGTATACCAGAGACAACTTCGCCGCGCACATGGAACAGAACCTCTCGACGCCAGATCTGCCTACGCTATCGCCAGGAGGGAGCTCCGCACGGCCATCAGGGTGGCAAAGACGAGCTCCTGGCTTGACCTTTGCGCCCTGGTCGACACGGACCCCTGGGGACTACCGTACAGGTTAGTGATGGGTAAGCTCGGGATCCGCCCGCCGGGCGAAGACTCGAGGGGCAACGAGGCCGGCATCGCCGACCTTCTGTTTCCAGCGGCCCCCGTCACCGATTGGTCGATCGCCCCCTCGGCTGCCGTAAATAATATTTTCGAAGCATTCGATCCGACCCTCAACGACATCGTGTTTACGCGGGTAATTTCCGAGTTCTCCTTGGAGGAACTCAAGAAAGCAGCGATGCGCCTCCCGGCCGGCAAGGCGTCAGGACCTTCGGGGATACCGAACGAGGTCCTCAGGGCCTTGCTCAACTCACGCCCGCGCAGAGTACTCAGCCTGTACAACAACTGCCTCCGCGCCCTGACCTTCCCGCCGCGCTGGAAGAGGGCCCGCCTAGTGTTGCTGCGGAAAGGACCAGATAAGCCCGCCGAAGCCCCGTCCTCGTACAGGCCTATTTGCATGCCGGACACTCCGGGCAAGCTCCTGGAGCGTTTGCTACTTCAGAGGCTTGAGGCCCACCTCGACGCTCACGGAGGCCGCAGGAAGGCAAAAAATCAGTTCGGCTTTAAGAAAGGCGTCAGCACCGAATCCGCAGTCGCCCGAGTTCTGGACATCGCAGCCCTCGCTGCAACCGGACGAGGTCAAAAGGACTTGTGCATTCTGGTGACTCTTGATGTCAAAAACGCCTTTAACACCTTGAGATGGCCGGTAATTGACGCGGCACTAAGGTCGAAAAATACCCCGGAGTACCTAGTCGAGATGTTTCGCTCTTGGCTCTCAGATAGAAGCCTTCTGACGGGAGCCGAACAGACCGCGAGGCCTGTGTCTTGTGGCGTGCCGCAGGGTTCCGTCCTCGGACCCGCCCTATGGAACGTGTCCTACGACAGCCTCCTGGAGATGGAAGTCCCGTCCGGCGTCCACCTGGTGGGCTTCGCGGACGACCTGGCCGTAGTAGGCGTGGCCAGGACGGGTCCCCTGCTGGAAGAGGCACTCAACCCAACACTCGCAGCGATCGATACATGGATGCAACAGAGGGGCCTTCAACTGGCACACCAGAAAAGCATAGCCGTCCTCTTGACAAACAGGCGGTCGTTTCAGCCCCCTCGCCTGGAGATCGGCGGACACCTCATCAGAATCGAGAAAATCCTAAGGTACCTAGGTGTGATTCTGGACCAGCGGCTCACCTTCGCGCCGCACGTGGACACCGTCGCCAAGAAAGCTGCCCGCTCGGCCGCGGCCCTGGCCAGGCTCATGCCTAACGTCAGGGGCCCGTACCAGTGGAAACGCAGGCTCCTGGCGGCGGTCGTCGAAAGCCAGTTACTCTATGCCGCTCCCATCTGGGCCGACAAAGTCTCGGCAGTCGTCAGAACAAGTGCCAACCTGATCCGCCCCCAGAGGGCAGCCGCCCTGCGGGTGATCCGCGCCTATAGAACGGTGTCGGACGAAGCCGCCTTGCTGCTGGCTGACATGATCCCAGCCGACCTCATGGGTCTGGAAAGAGGCCGAATTAGGGACCGACTGCTCGCCGACTCGGCTCCCGACGAACCTCACTTGACCAAGGCCGCGATCAAACGCGAAGAGAGGCAGGTCACCATCCAGCTGTGGCAGGTCCGATGGGAGTCGACCGACAAGGCAGCCTGGACGCGGCGAATCCTGCCAGACGTCAGGAGGTGGCTGGAGAGGACCGTGCCAAAGGTGCCTCTGTCGTTCCACATGACGCAGGTCCTCTCCAATCACGGATGCTTCGAGCAGTACCTCCACAGGATGGCCAGGGCAAACAACGCGAGCTGCTGGCACTGTCCGGCCCGCAGCGACTCGGCAGAGCATACGCTGTTCGTCTGCCCAAGGTGGAATGGCCTGCGGGAAGAACTCGGCGCCCACCTGGGCCACCCGCCGGGTACCGAAGACCTCCCAGATCTGTTGTGCGGGCCTGATTTCTACCTCCTGCCCGAGTGCGCAGAGGAGAAGTCCAGCCTACTCCATAATGCCGCCGAAGGATTCAGGCTGTTCTATAAAATGACCGAGGGCATCCTGACACTGAAGGAAGTTGAAGAACGAGCAAGGCAAGCGGCCGGCGGTAGGAGGCCACGAGCACCCGTCCAGGTCGTCTAGACTACCGACCAGCTACAAACCAGGCCGGGCGTTTATCGCCGCCAAGAGGCGGGCCGCAAGGCCGACCGTACTTAGCTCAACGCCAAAAACTGCAAGTAGTCTGAACAGCGGAAGTCGAACGTGCGAATCCGACGCCCGGAAGAGGTCCACGGACGTGCGCCCACCCGCCGGTCATCAGCCACGAGAGCAGTCCGCAGAGCCAGCCCAGCAGCACCCTCCGGCCAAGCCGAGCCCAGGAAGATTCGAAAGCCGGACGAGTCCACATCTCAACACCGTTATTTTGTATTTATGTAATGTAATGTAAATTTCTGTACGTCCCCCCGGGCCTGGCCCACCGACAGACTAGTATCACACCAGCACTCGCTGAGGAACGTTTGTCGGTGGTCTCAGGTCGGGGACTATCTTGTTATGATATTGATGTATTAACTAATGTGATTTTGTGTCAATAAACGATGGGGGCCGGAGGTGAAGTAATGCTAACGCGGTTCCGCCTCCGGCCCTCGATTCAAACCCGAAAAAAAAAAAAAAAAAGATCCCTTCTTATTTTGAAAAAAAAAAAAATAAAACCTTTTTCATAATTTAAAATACAAAATGTAGTAGTAATTAATAAGAATATGGAACTTTAATAATTTAAGTCATTTTTTTTGATTTGAGATTTTCATAAAATGAATGATAAGTTTTAGGTATAATACCCTTTTTACATAGAGATAAAAGGTCTTGGATTTTTGCTTCTTCTATACACAGCTGTTCTTTATATGGTCTTATGGGAATTATGCGTTTGTCTTATCGGCCTCTTTGTCTTTTTTTATAATATTAATCTGTATTGAATCTGTTGAACTTAAATTGTACTTTATCTGAATTACATAAGGAAATTCATAATTAACAGACACTTCTTTTATATTATTCCACTTGATTAATGTTTTTTCATCAGAATTTTTTGTATGGCTGATGACTTTCTGAAATCTGATGGATTTAAGTTATAATTATAATAATAATATAAATTATAACACTATGCTTCAAAAATTTAAATATATTATAAAATATTAAATAATACTTACTTCCATATTGTAATATTTATTGTTAACTGTTTCCCTCTGAACATAAAATTAAAAAGAAATCAAACAATTTCTTAAATGTACAATAACAAAACTATGAATCGTACCTACTAATTAATAATTATTATAGTCATAATTTATGATAATAATATTATAATATTATGATAATGATTCATATTATTATCATTGTTGCTATTAATATCAAGACGAAATTGGAAATTAATTAGTTAGTTATTTATAAATAATAAAAATATAAAATATTATAGTACTGTAAGTAGTACCAACCCTTAAATAATATTATTAAATTGACTGTATTTACTATTATTGCATTTCAAAAGATAAACAGTGATAACAATGTATGTAAGTATGTTATAAAATAATAATTATAATATTATTATTATAATATAATTATTTTACACGTGGTTAGGTACTACTTACTTCCTTGAAAGAAAAAAACAATCCGAAGAAAAAAGAAGTAACTCAATTTACGTCAATCTTCGATGGTAAAATGTATTTTATGATGACGTAACTCAAGTTCCTTCTTTTTTCTTGGGATTTCACTATTTCCAACTATTTTTAGATCCTGTTTTACTCTGTTCACAATCATGATACAGTTACTGCCGTTTTCGTATTAGATAGAGCGAAAAAATGTCTATAACGCCATAGCAGTAACTCAATTTCCGATTTTTTTGAGTTACTGCCTTATTCGTTGCGTATGTCGTTATATGGCGCGTAGTAATAATGCGTATCATTACATATCGTATTATATTATGACGCTCACGCATACCAGACCGGTGGCCGCCGATTCGTACTCGGCCGCAGTGTTGCCGTTTTCGAGACTATAAAATAAGTTTTAGTGGTAGACAAAAAAAGCTAGATATGGCTAAATTAATTTTTTTTCAGTATAAGCTATATAAGGCCAAAAAATATTTTAAAAAGCTAGAAATGGCTAAACTAATTTTTTTTAATATAATCTACCTATAAAGGCAAAAAAATTAAATATATTTAAAGCATATTAAATTATAAAATATAATGGTATCACAATTATTGTGATTACAATTTTACAGTACAATTAATACAATTATAGTCATTACTATATTAAATGCATAGGTATAATTAGGTAGGTACTTCAGTACTAAAAAAATAATTTAAATAAATATTATAACAAAAAAAAAATAATAATTCATACATTCATTTGTATAGAACAGTGGTTCTTAACCTTTTTTAGTTCAGCGCCCCCTTTATCTACTCTGTTCCACGAGAGAGTATACTCGTTTTTTCGTCCGTCGCTGCGCATCCCCCACCATTTTCGCCCGTTCGGTTACGATCGTCAACTGCTCGGCCCGGCGGTCGGCAACGACTCCTCTCATACGTAGCGTTTAACATTTACAGCGATTGACACGACATCCACGTGATATCGCAACCACGCACAACGCTCTTCCTGTATGTACTCGTAATACGTGATACACGCCTGCAATTTTAGTCCGCAACGCGCCGTTTTTTTAATTTACTGTTAATCATGCAATTTTCCGATGAAGAAGATGAACCAACCGCATCAGCTTTACCAACACCATCGCCCGTTAAAAAGAATAAAGCAGGAAAGGTAAGCGTCTTCTAATATTTAATTAGCTTTTATTAAATTGTGAGTCACCTTAAAAAAAAAAAATTTTAAACAGATTGATTTTTTAATTTAATGATTTTTTATTATTTATTTTTTAATTCTTTATAAATAACATTAAGGATTTATTAATTATTAGATATTACCTAATTAGTAATTACTAATAAATTACATTATTTATAATATAATTTAAAAACAAATTATGTATTTTTTTATCTAGATAAATGTATGTGTATTTTTATCTTTATCTAGATAAAAAAAATGATATTATATTTTATCTTATCTAGATAAATTTTGAATTAATTATCTGTTATCTTATTCATATGATTTTTTGGTTATCTTTTCCCAACACTGCTCATAAGGGTATTTTTATTATTTTTTAGTTTGTCGGGACCTGCCAAAAGACCATCATCATTAATTTGTACAAAAAATATCTTCTTCAACAACCAAAAATGAAATACATAGATATAATGATGTCGTTGTCAAATGATACAGGGATTGGTATAACCACTGTAAAAAGAACAATTCGGGATTACAGACAAAAAGGTGTAGTTTGTTCACCTAACAAAAAAAAACAAAGATTAACCATCATCGAGAAAATTGAAGATTTTGATAAGAATGCTATTCGGCAAAAAATACATGGATTCTGGTACAGGCATGAAATACCTACGTTAAGTAAAGTGTTGGTTGCCATTAACGAAGATTCGAGTCTTCCAACTTTATCTCGTACTGGTTTGTATCGGCTGTTGGGAGATTTAAATTTTGAATTCACTAAAAGACAGCGTAATAGTGCACTAACAGAGAGGGAAGATCTTATAAGGTGGCGCAGGAAATTCATTACAAATATAAGGCTCTATAGAAGTGAAGGTCGAACAATTTATTATCTCGATGAGACGTGGGTCAATGCAGGTGAGTGTGCAAATAAAGTGTGGGTCGACAAAACCGTAACATCGAGTCGTGATGCTTTTTTGAAAGGACTGACTACGGGACCCAAAAATCCAACAGGTAAAGGAAAACGATTGATTGTGGTACATATAGGTTCATCAAACGGTTTCGTCGAGGGTGGTCTACTGTGTTTTGAATCAAAAAAAAATACAGCAGACTACCACGACGAAATGAACGGTGATTCCTTTTATGATTGGTTTTGTGGAATTTTACCGCTGTTGGACGATCATTCAATTATCGTAATGGATAATGCGTCTTACCACTCGGTCAAGCTGGATCCCGCACCAACAATGGCTTGGAAGAAAAATAAAATCATTCAGTGGTTGGAGGATAAGAATGTAGTAGTTGACACGAAAATGATTAAACTAGACTTAATCGATAAGGTAAAAGAGATTCGAGCCACTGAAAAGTATGTTATTGATGAAAAAGCAATGGAAACAAATAAAATTGTCCTGCGTTTGCCACCTTACCACTGTGAGTTGAACCCAATAGAATTGGCATGGTCTGTGGTAAAAAATCATGTGAAGCAGAATAATACTACGTTCAAATTAAATGATGTACGGCAATTGCTGATCGATGGTGTTCAACGAGTTACTCCGGAAATGTGGGCCAATTTTGTAAAACACACAATTAAAGAAGAGGATAAGATGTGGGGTATTGAGACCATTACCGATGAAATGCTTGATGAACTAGTTCCAACATCTCAACATGTTCTAACGATCACAGGAGAAACGAGTACCGATTCCTCAGATTGAAATTAAAAATCATTAATATTTAAAAATTAAAATCAATATCATTCATATAATAATTGTTACTTATATTGTATTGCATTTATTTATTTAAAATACACATGTAAATTCTTTTATGATAGTATTTGTTCATCATTAATTTATATTAAAAAAATTATCTGTATCACTATAAAAAAAAATTATTATACTTTTTGCGTAATGATAAACACTACAGCACACTGTATATGCGATGCGATTAATATTATCGGTGTGTATAACCGATGTTGCGCGCCGCTAGACGGTAAAGAGTGGGAGAAATTGTGGTTCCGCGCTGTGGGCGGCGTCAGTCGGCTGCGCGAAACAAGTATACTCTCTCGTGGAACAGAGTATCGTAATAACTTACTGCTAACGCCCCCTCCCCCCTCAAAATCAAAATTTCTTCTAATAAAGATATATATATATATATATATATATTTATTCATCAGTATATTACAGTATAACATTATTAATTAAAGTAAAAACTCTTATTTTTAGATAATAAAGGTTATATTTTTCATCACTTAACAAAAACATTTTACTTTACTATACAAAAAGAATTACTTAACTATGAAAAAAAAAATTATAAAATATAAAAATTATACCTATCAATGACTGCCCTGAGCCTGATGAGTAGCTGCTAATGTGGAGATGTCTGGTTCGATATTGGTCAAAGCTAAACGTATAGATCACCTTTGTTACAAATGTCCAACCGATTTCTTTGTTTCGTCAAAAGCTGAACAACAACGCTGAATCCTTTTTCAACTTACAAGGTACAGTATACAACAGTCCAGTTATGGTTGAAAATGTAAAAATAAATTTTTTATAAACAAGACGTTCCCGATACGTAAAATGCGATTAGATGACATTCCGTATGTCGTTGTATCGTACGCAATTACAACTATTCTGATTTCAAGTTCAATTATTTGTAGTGTTTTTATATAATATTAATAAATTGTATTATTTTTAATCTCCTAGTTTGAAAAAGCTCACCGCCCCCTCAACGCCCCCTTCAAAACTATCGCCCCCCATAGAGACCGAAATGCCCCCAAGGGGGCGGTAGCGCCCCCGTTAAGAACCACTGGTATAGAACATGTCAGTTTTGTCAACAACAAAATAAGGTAAGTGAATCTTTCATCAATAAATATTATAAACATAAAAAAATATAATCATGCTTTTTAAAAAAAATTAAACATTTAGGTATCTAGGTATTTAAAGTATATTGAGATCTAAGTGATCATCTATGAGCATGTCTTCTTCTTGCCCTAGGAAACTAGGCATTGAAATTTGTTTTAAGACATTCATTGGTAACGAGTAGTTCTCACAACAAACGTTTTGCCTCCTTAATCCACTTTTTATAGTTAAAATAGAATCCAGCAATTTAGATCCCATTCTATTTCTTAGTTTTGTTTTAACTAGATTCATCTGACTGAATTCGACATCAGCGTTAGACCATGGCCAAACTAGTAACCGCATTGTCAATGTGCAAAGTTCTTCAAATGGATTTGTTTCACTGGCATCTCTATATTCACATACTTCCTTCCAAAACAAAAACGTTTTATCTGTTTGAAGCCATTTAATATTGGTAAGATTGTTCCATTGTATATTAATTTTATCAATTATTCTAGGTTCAAACTGAAAAAGTTCAGCTAAAGGTGTTAACGGTTCTTTAATAACACTTAAAGCTGACTTTGGAGAAATTAATGATACTTTTTCAAGAATCTGTACATTTTTAGGCAACCTTTGTTGAAGTTGCTTGAGTAGGACTTTCAAGAACTGTACACATCGGTGCTTTAAAACTTTCTGATCGTCCGGAGACAGCTTACTAACTACTTGACTGAATTCATAACCAAAGTAAACATTTGGAGATACATAACTATCCATATTACAAATTAATGGATTTTGCCTGCAGTCAGGCACAACGAACCGTCTGGCTATTGAGTTAATAAGGTTAATTAAATCATTTAACAATTTTGATGGATCAGCTGTGTTTGATTCAAACGATTTGTTAACTTTTTGAACCTCTTCAAGTACTGGATGTAAGAATTTTAAATATGCAAGATTTCTATCATCTATAAACATATTATGTAGAATATCTGCAGCATAATATTTCTCTTTCAGTTTTGCAATCCCAAAAAGAGTTTTCAACTCTAACCACTGATTTAAAATTCTACTTACTGCTGTTTCAATAGATAGCCAGCGAGTGTCACAAGCTTTCACAATGTTTAATGGTTCATGACCTTCATTTATGGCTTTAAACAAATTGTTGTACTGTGCTTGCCTCAGACTTGAGTGGGAAAACCAATTATATGTTTCACGGATCATATATTCAATGTTTCTTGGCAAAGTTTCGCTGGCTGCAGCTGATACAGCCAATTGCAGAGAGTGACATATACAAGATACATGAATTAAAGTTGGTATATCTTCTTTTAATTTTTTCTACACCCCATTGTTAATTCCAACCATTACTGAAGCGTTGTCGGTGCCTATACCTATTAATTTTTGAAGGTCCAATCCTTTATTTTTTAAAGTGGTTTTTATACCAATTGTGATAGCTTCAGCATCACAAGCTTCCATTTCCACTAAAGCCAGATATGTAGAAGTTACTTGTCCCAGTTCCTTATTAAAATACATGATGGTAATTCCTAAATATTTTGTCACACTTATATCTCTGGACTCATCTACTAAAATGCTATATGGCTGATTACCTATGCTTGTACGCAGACTTGTTTCAAAATGTGGAGACAATATATTGGTTATTATGTTAGTACATTTTGTTCTATGTAACTTTATATTTTTTGCAGCTTCACAATCATTAAATTTTTATTTACACAAAACTCCTAAGTGATCACATGTAAGGATGGAACAATGAACTGCTGTAAACAATGCTAACGTACCTTCTGCATCACTCGTTTTTAAGGAAGGAGGTTTTGTGTAATTTGCCACGGACCTTGAAGTTGCGAATCCATTTGAAGCCTCAATATGCTTTTTGGTCTTCGTGTGTTGGAGAAGATCATACCGTTTAGCAACTACTTCAGTTTTGCAAAACCTACATCGAGCTTTATTTCGATCTAGTTCGATCTTCACCAACCAATCTTTGAAAAGTGCATCAGTGAGCCATTCTTCCCTGAACTTTTGGGTGTATTGTGTCTTACCCATACTTTTAAAACACTTTGCACTTCAATAATACAAAATATTTTATATATTTTAAACTATTACTATACCCACTGTGAATAAAAATGTTCTCCTACAGATAAATAAAATGTACCTTTCATATATAAATATCACTGGCAATTCCAATACATATAGGTACTATATTATTATAGATAATTTAAGATTGTATTTATCTGTAAATATTCAAATACTTCAAAAAAACAAATAAAGTTTTTCGTACTATACAGTCAATCATTTGGAACCTATGGTTATTTACAATAAATAATAATTATAATATTATTTAAATTAATGCGGGAAATGTTGGCAGGTATATTATCAATTATCATATTATGTATAGAACCTTATATCTTAATTCATAAACCGTGATTTACCAATTATAAAATGCTAATAAAATTCATTATCAGATATTCAGGTTATAAACATATGTATCATATAAAATAGATAAAACGAATCGTGGACGGACTGTGACTAGGAGTTATACATTGCTGCGTCAAGCGGGGCCGGCCGGACCATGGTGTCCATGAACTGGTCGTAGTCGACCAGTCCCGAGCCGGCAGGGTCCATGCTGGCCACCATCTCGTTCGCGTCCACGTCTGTCAACAAGTTTGGGTCGAACTCTTTGAGCACGGTGAGCACGTGGTCGACCGTCACCTGTCCGGTGGACTTCGGGTCGCCGGCCGCAAGCATGGCGCGGAACCGCCGACGCCGGGCCCCGTCTTCGGCCCATCGGCGCGCCACGGACGCCGCCCACTGGTTTCCGGTGATGTACCCGCGGCCGGTCGGGTCGTATTCGTCGACCACGGTGATGACGTCTTCGTCGGTCGCGTCCACGCCGACCGCTCTCAGCGCCATGTACAGGTTCCTGACGTTCATCCGGCCGCTGCCGTCGCTGAACATGGCGAAGGCGGCCTGCACCTCGGCGCCTCGGCTAACAGTTCTGCAGGTAGCGCGGGCCAGTGGGCGGCGGCGTCACCGTCCTCGCCGTCCTTCGACGGTTCCGCCTCGGGCCGTTGAAAGTTGTCATCGTCGTCGGCGTCGTCATCGTCGAAGAACGGTTCCGACGCAGATGGCTGCCGTTCGGGTTCAGACATGTCGAACGATGGAATGGTTTTCGTACAATTTTTTTCTTCTCAGCGTTCGTTTTCAGTTTGCTTGTAAAAATATATTTTGATATTATTTACCTATGGAGGCGCGTTTATGAAATACCTAGGTAACAAATATTATAACAGTTAAACGTTTTTGCTCCGGCTTGTGGTTGTAGGAAGTGTTCAAAAAATATTAACTAAATAATTGTTACCTAGTAATCATCTAATTTGTTGATGAACATTTAGCCAATAGTACGTGGTCTCGTGATACCCATACTTTCGCGGAATGAGGGACTCCAGGGGAACTTTGACGACGGTCATCTTTTATTATACTTTCGGGCCTTGCATTTTTCTGGATGCTACACTGCAGCTGCAGTATGATAGATAAGGGTGGCTAAAACTTCCGAGATCGTTTAATAGACCTATATAAGTTCAATGTAATATTTCAATACCTAGGTACTTTAATGTTATTTATATTTTGGTGATAACTGATAAGATATTGCGGCTGTATTTTAATTCTTGACAGTTTTCCCACCCACCGCCCATGTACCCCGTGATGTGCGAACTACTATATAGTATTACCAATATAATCTTTGTTTGCAATTTTGCAAATACAAAATGTTTGAATGTTGATTATAAAATAAAAATTGATTGCTGTAAAGGGGGGGGGGTAGCCCCCACTTTTTGGGTGTACATTTATAAACGGGTAGCCAACTGAAATAATGCAAAAATGCAGTAAATAATATATAGGTATTTATTTATGAAAATTATATTTTCTAAGTTAAAAAATTTGTAATGTTTTTTTTTTGGAGGGGGGGCTTTGCCCCCCACGGCTTAGGTTTCATACCGCAAAGAGGTAGGTGGGTGGGTATAAATTAATGTAAATTGCCACACCTATAAAAAATCAGTTCGGCGCTACTGTTAATAACAACTGAAGGAACACATTAACATTAACGATTAACAATTTACAACGCGTTTTCTAGACAGACGACCCCTACGCTGCTCGTCAGCTACTAAAAGTACATACACTAATAGAGTACCCATGGTATAAAAGCAACTTTAACGAAAATGAGATACTACTGAGTGTTAATAGAATAAACAATATTTTATCAACTATTCCATGAAATATTGACGTCACTTGGTCCAGTTCAAATTATATTTACATGTATTAAAATCAAAAAAAGGCGGCATATTATAATTTATTAAAATAACACTATTTTTGGATCTAAGAATAAATTGTCCAATGTTTGTCTATAATAAAAATAATGATATATATTATGCATATTGTATATGTGTATACCGAGTGAATATTTTATCTCATAACATATATCTTACTAAATTTAGGTTTAATGATTTAATATTCATTATGCTTACAACAAAGCTTTCATTTATTTTAGGCCAATTTCCGTTCATCGATGCTTTAAATTGTTGAAACCATGGTAGATCCTTCAAATCTATTTAAATTTAAAACTAGTTAATGCAAATTTTGTACCAAGCCTTTAACAATAATTATTTACTAATATCAGACAAACAAAATGACAAAAAGGAGCATAGAGGTAGAACTTATCATAGAAAAGAATTCTAATTTAGTAATTACTAATAACAAATACTACCTATATACGATAATTTATAGTATTTAGTAATAATTAAATAGGCTCTGTCTCAGCCACTCTCAGGTCCCAGAAATTCCGTGAGATTTGCAATCACGGATTAGGGGAGAATGGGGGAATGCCGGTCACTTAAGCGGGAATTCATGTATCTCCGATAATAAAAACCAAATATTTTACTACTGCTTACATTAGAACTATTAAGTTGTTAGCTACTACATACACAAGTTTCAAAATTTTAAACTAAGCGCAACTTTTTTTTTTTTTTTTTAAAAAAACGCAAATGACCGGTATTCCCCCTACCCTGGGGTAATACCAGTCATACAAAAGCCCCATATAAACACATAGGTAATTCAACATTTATTATCAAACCATCACATTTTACATCAGATCAGTATTTTTAAGTAACACATTGTTCCTATGTAGCATTGAGAAAGTAATAACAATGCATACATACTAAATTAACTATCTAGCCTTAATAATAAGATCTATCAAATAGTATAAGTTTATATTTTTTAAAATAAAGTAATAACAATTTATAACAAAATAAATGTGCAGTCTTTTAAATTTCAAAATATAGGACCCTTTAACTTTAGGTAAACATAACTGGTTTTATCTACTAGTATTTAAAAATAATATTATATAAATACCTAATATACTTAGAAAAAAATAACAATATTAAATTAGGATTAATTATCCATTCTTAATAGTATCAGTTCATATTTTTTTTAAATAAAGTAATAATAACAATTCATAACAAAATAAATGTAGTCTTTTAAATTTCATAATATAGGACCCTTTAACTTTAGGTAAAAATCACTTATTTTACTTACTAGTATTTAAAAATAATAATATATAAATACCTAATATACTTAGAAAAAAAAATTTAATTAGGAAGTGCTTATTTCTTGGCCATTTCTTTTTTTCTGATCATTCCCATGCAAATGTCACAAATATAGTCAACTGCAGTATCAGCTCCACTACATTCTGAATGTACCCAGAAACCACATTGTGTGCATCTGTACCACAATTCATCTTTTCCACTCTCTTCGCATATTAAGCAAACCTCCTCGCCATCATTAACATTATCATCACTGTTGTAATCAACTATTTCTATCATATCAACATCACTATCTGAACTAGAACCGACGTCCTCAAATAATTTTCGTTTTGTTAATTTCTTCTTATTTGATTCTAAACAAAGTTTAAATAATATAATAATCAGTAAAGAAACATTTTAATAAAATAATTTGTATGAATATAAATCATAAAATATTTACTCACTCTTTGGTTTAGGCTTTTGTTCTTTTTTTGGGGGGAGGACAGCAGGTTTTTCTTTCTTTATTTTCGTTTTTCTTTTATTTTCTTTAAATTCGAGTATCGTTTTCATTGGAGTGGATGTTATAACAGTGGAGTGCTGTTTTGCAGATCTTCGTCGAACCACTTTTGGAATTGGCGTAATTGATTTAAAGGGAACAAGATATTCCGACGATGTATATGTAGAAGGCACAGAGTTATTTATAATGTTATTTGTAGAATTTGATGGTTCTTCAGAAGTAGAATTCATTTCAATGACAACTGGAGATAAGGTGTTGGTATCGTCAGTAGAAAATGTGTTTGCTGCGAAAAAATCCTCTTCGGTAAAAACATTTGGGTTCATTGGGTATATCCCTGTTGAACTAAACCCAGATACACCTTTTTGTATTGTTGCCACTATAGAATATGCTTTATTAAACAGTTCAGCCAAATCATACGGGGTTATTTTTACAAGTGAATTTCACTTCATAAATAAATCACATTCTCTTTTAAATGCCTGCTTTAGTGGTCCAAAAAATGTGACATCAAGAGGTTGCATTCGATGTGAGGTATGTGGTGGCAATGACAACATTATTATATTATTTTTTTTACAAAAATCATAAGCAGGCAAATTGATATGGCTTCCGTGGTTGTCCAATATAAGAAGAACGGGTTCTGTCATTGATGGTTTCGTATGATTGACAAAATGCTGTAACCAAACAAGGAAAATATCCTCATTGGACCACCCGTTTTTGGTACACTGATATACTGCACCTGGTGGACCATTTCTTTGTAGTTGATGACACATTCTCTTTCTTGGGAAAATAAATAAAGGAGGAACAAATGTACCTGAAGCACTCATGGAACAAATAACAGTTACGTTTTTACCTCTTTCCCAGCTCGTGACAGAACCTACACGTTTTTGGCCTATAGGTGCTATTATTTTTCCTGGGTCTTGTACGGTGGAAATTCCGGTTTCGTCCATATTAAAAATGTGGGAAGGAACAAATGAATACTTTTCCATTAACATCTCAAGATTTTCAAAAAAAAGTGAAACTTCAGTTTTATTAAAAGCTGTTATACGACTAATACTAGTTGCTTCAGGTTTTCTAATGGTTATTGATGGGTTACGTCTAATAAAATTATAAAACCAATCTATTCCCGCAAGTTTAAGACTACTATTAAAATTGTGTTCAAGTTTGTTTTCTTCTGCAAACTCAAAAACAGCACTTCTTAACTGCAAAGGTGTAATTCCATAAAATAGTTTCGCTAAATCTTTTATATGTTCAGCCATATCATTCTCTAAATCAATACAAAATACAGGTTTACGCCCAAGACTTAAATTTTCGGTTTTTCCCTTTTTAATCCTTTATTGGAGTGTGCTTAACGGAATACCAAAGGCTTTTGAGGCTTTCCTAATGCTCATTTCCTTATTGGAAATTGCACTCATAGCATTTAATAAATTTTCTTGAGACCAATCACCTCGATTTGTAACTCTAACGTACTTACGCGGCATCTAAGTAAAAATATACTTAATTACTTAGTGATAATAAATCAAATTTCTAGGTAGGGAACTACATTTAAAAAAAATTAACAAATTAATAACGATATATTATTATTAATTTGTTAATTAATATTGTATTTTAATTGTGTACTAAGATATAAATGGGGCAATACCGGTCGGTATGTATAATATGATAATTGACCGGTATTACCCCATACACTTTGACCGATATTACCCTTTTCGTATATGTTTTACATAAATGACTAAGACATTAATATGATGATAAATAGGACTAAATCAAGTATAAGAACATATTCTGTATGTATTAAGGATTATGTTCTACTAAAACAAAGTAAAGGAAAAGAAAAAAATCTTACCTTACGATGATGATTAAATGTTCGGATTTTAGTAGTGAAATGTGATAAGAAATGTTATCACATTTTTGGTCGGGAAAAAAATCATACGACTATCACGCCATATTCAATTTTAGATAACGATATCATAATTTATTAATCAAAAGTGTTTGTATAACCTAAAATATGATAGGTTTGTTAAAATGTTAGTGGCCGGTATTACCCACTGACTGGTATTCCCCCATT